CGGAATGCACTGATTCCGCTCCGACCTCAAGCACATCTTTTGGAGCTCTTGCTCGAACTTCAACGCCGTGCTCTAGCGGATTAACCACTAAGAAGTTTAATCATACCTACTTTCGCAGGTGTGGGTGGATTTCCACAAACGTGGGTACCACCTTAAGTACTTACGTCCTTACGCTGTGCCTTCTCCATAATTACAGTTTTGCCCAAACTGCTAGGGTTGGTGCGTATTTCAGAGGGTATACTTCCCGCCATCGTCCTACTTCCCGAGACGCACGAATGCCATTCGGGGCACACACACCAAGTGGATTTTAGTCGCCTTTTACGACAAGCATGCCTTACTGCAGGTATATTCTCGCGCCTACCCGCAGGCCCGCCGCAATACAATAGTACAAATGTACGTTTGTGGCAACATATGAAAATTAGATTTGGGCGCTTACTCGCTTAAATGGGTACCACCTGTGCAATTTTGTGGGACTGTACCTTTCTGCTCGTGTCCTTTTTCCTGTCATCTAATCCTCGCTTTTGTTGTTGTAGCGGCTTGCAGCGTTTACTTTATATGATATAAAGTTATCATATTCAATGTGATGCCTTATTATAAGGGATAATGCGAGCCGTTTTTATATGACCTATAAGACTAAGGCAGGGTTCACACGATGTGTACATTTGCACATTTGGCAACCACATAGTGGTATTGCTTAGAATTTTTTGTTGGAAATGAGTTCAGCTCAATAACAACTTTCCAAACAACACCCCTCTGTAACTGTGAAAATGTACAAATCTGTACAAATGTATACATCGTGTGATCCCTGCTTTAGGTTTAAGGGTGTGTCTCAGAGAGAGAGAGAGCAAACCTGATGAACTGACGACATCAACACAGCGAAATGTGGTGTTGATTCAAGCTCAACATTTGAAAGCACAATTACGTGTACGGCTGTAGCTGAGTATGCAAAGATGCTTGATAGAATCGGTTGCTTTGTCCGGTTTAATTCCTATCAGAAGGAACATAAAATTAAAAATTGTTCTTATACCCGAGCGCACTTGTGCACAAGGGTATTATAACTTTGTTCACATAACGGTTGTTTGTAACAGGCAAAACGAATCGAGATAGATATAGACAAATGTATACATAAATAAAGGATCTGAATGAAAAAAGAAATCGATTAAACGGTGACTCTCTGTCCGTCCGTCCATCTGTGCACACGATAATTCGAGTAAAAATTGAGATATCTTAATAAAATTTGGTTTGTGTACTTATTTTGAACGTAGGACGGATGTTATTGAAAATGGGAAAATCGTTCAATAACACTGCCTACCCTTCATATAACGGTTGGTTTCCGAAAAGCAAAAACTACTATATGTTAGTAACTACAGAAGCTGATTCACTAAAAAATGATATTTACAATGATTTTTAGACGAAAACTAAGAATATTATAAATTTTTGGAAAATGGGCGTAGGCACGCCCACTTCTAATTACATGTGTAACCGCTTCACTAATTTCTACCAAACTTGGCATAGTTGTTGACCTTGGTACAGCTTACCAAACGCCTGAATATTTTTTTAATCGGACAATAACCACGCCCACCTCACATATAACGGTTATTTAGAGAAATACGAAATTTTTGATAAATCAGTAAATACTGTAGCTAATTTATTCAAAATTGATGTTTGCAATAATTGTTTAGCAAAAAATAGGTATATTATAAAATTTTGGAAAATGGGCGTGGCACCGCCCACTTATGACCACTTATGTGAATCTCGGTAATCGTTCGATCAATTTGTACCAAACTCGGTATGATATGATTTTCATATAACTGTAAATTTCAGAAATGCTTGAAACTTCGATATTTCGTAATTAAAGGACGCTAACTCAAAATTTATACGAACTGCAATCCCTTGAAAAGAAGTAACATTATAAATGAATTTTGGATAATTTGATCTCATTAGTTGTGTTTTCTTGGGTTATCCAGCTCTGTATCACGATCAGTGTCGCCACCATTGTCTTTTCCGACCAAATTTGGTAGCTACTTTTTCATTTGGTATGTTGGTAGGCAAAGTAAGATTTTGGTCGGATAGTTGAATTAAGTTTTTAAATTCTTAATTATAAATATATGTATATTTCGAACATCATTTTGCATATAAATATTTGTCAATTCTACCTTTTAACAAGTAAGAAAGTCTAAGTTCGGGCGGAGCCGAACATTAAATACCCGGCGCAAGTATTAAATATATGATTTTCACCTTTCCGAAACCTACCGCTAGATGGTAAGCGGGGGTGTATCAATTTTGAGTAAATTAGCGTCCCTTAATTTCGGAATATTGCAGTTTAAAGCATTTTTGAAATTTACCGTTATATGAAAAGCGACCGTACTTTTAGTCCGATTTCAACAATTTTCAATGGTTTACTTTTATGTGGCAAGCACAATAACCATACCGAGTTTGATACAAATTGCTAGAACGGTTAGCGAGATACATATATCTGATCACAAGTGGTTGGTGCCACGCCCATTTTCCAAAATTTTATCATAAACATATTTCTTGGTAAATAATTGTTGCAATCACCAATTTTGAATAAATTAGCTTTCATATTTACTGATTTATCGAAGATTTTGTATTTCTTGAAATTACCTTTATATGGGATGTGGGCGTGGTTATTGTCCGATTTTAAAAATTTTCAGCCATTTGGTATGCTGTACCAGGACCAACAACTCTGCCAAGTCTGGAAGAAATCGGTGGAGAGGTTGCCAAGATATACGCATGTAACCATAAGTGGGCGTGGCTGCGCCCATTTTTCCAAAATTTATAACATTCTTATTTTTCGTCTAAAAATTATTGTAAATATCAATTTTGAGTGAATAATCTTCAGTAGTTACTAAAATATCGCAGTTTTCGTATTTCTGAAAATTACCGTTATATGGGAGGTAGGCGTGGTTATTGTCCGATTTCGCCCATTTTCAATACCATCCGTCCTACGCCCAAAAGAAGTTCACGTACCAAGTTTCGTTAAGATATCTCAATTTTTACTCGAGTTATCGTGTGCACAGACGGACGGACGGACGGACGGACGGACGGACAGACAGACACCGCTTAATCGATTTCTCTTTTCATTCTGATCATTTATGTATACATTTGTCTATATCTATCTCGATTCGTTTTGCCTGTTACAAACAACCGTTATGTGAACAAAGTTATAATACCCTTGTGCACAAGTGCGCTCGGGTATAAAAATTTGCCAATCCTGCTTTTAAAAATAAGAAACCTAATTGGCTTGGCCACTGATGGAGCCAATGTTATCGCTGGAGACTTGGGCGGGCTGAAAACATTATTGAGTGCAGAAACCGATTTATTTTATATAAAGTGCACATGCCACTCACTTCACCTTTGCTGAAGCTACGCTTGTAAAACATTTCCGAAAAGCATTGAGACACGGTGCCGCAACAAATATAGTTCCTTTTCCCATCAAAGAGGAAACATGAACTGAAGGAATTTCAGGACTACTGTTCGGTTAAACCCCACAAAATCTTGGGCATATCTTAACATAATGGCTTTCACTAGAAAGCGTTGTGTTAAGAATAGTTGAGCAATGGGGTAGTTTAAAACTTTTTTTTATTCCCTACTGTTACGAAGTAAATGGTATGCGACCTGCAGACCTGGCAGGAGGAATGTGTTGCAAAACCAAATGCGGACTAAGCGTTTTTAGTCCACAAGACGGTTCGCGTTTTACAAAATATTTTAAGATAAAAAATCGAGCAAGCTACGAACGGAAGTTTGATGAAGAGAGAGAGTTGTATTTTTTTCTTTTACCTTTTATGTCAAAATCTTTTAGTACATCGATATAAAGACATGTGTGCAAATTTGTAACCGCAAAAGCTTTCTGCAAAATAACTATGCCACCAATATTCAAAGGCGAACCTTTCTTTAGCCACTTAGTGCGACCTTGCAAGCTTTGCAAATAATCTTTATGCTATTTGACCCAGAATTGTTGGAAGTAACATTGTAACTGCTGGTACCTCTGGTTAAGGAATGAAATTCCCAGAAGTAAGGGCAGGTGCATCGCTGGCGCTTTCAGGAACCCCTGTGATCGGCCTAGAATTAAGTATTGACTAGATTTGGATGATAAGGGTATTAAACTCTGAAAAAAGTAATGAAGAGCGATTCATTATTCGTTTTAGGTTGTATTTAAAAGATGTAACAGCAGCCTCCCAAAGCCCGCCAAAGTGTGGAGACCAGGGAGGTATATGCTTCCACATAATTCTATTAATAGCGCATTCCTTTGAAATTTCGTCTTGAGATTGCTGTTGCTGAAACATACTGAAAAGCTCTTCTAGCTCCTTCGTATTGTCGCTATACAAAACCGCACAATGTCCACGGCGAGCTATAAAACGTTTCAAAGCCTTGAGACAGCCTTTTGAACTGAGGTCGTCGACAAGC